CTAAAGCCATCTATCAGCCAGGTGATTAAAGTCAACACTGCTGTACCATACAGTGACCACAACCAAAATAATATATCTACAGATACTGACTTCAATTTATAGATGCTTGAAAGAATAAACCAGGTATTTTTGATTACCTGGCCTGAATAATTCATAATAAATCATTTAAGGTACTCTCAAGAAATGGGATAAATTGAACATTGAAACCACTTACAAAATGGATTTTAACTAAAATACACATTATTTGATTAATCAAGTTACTGTAACGCTACAATCAAGGACTCCGAGAAATCTTCAGAAAATAAACAAGCTGCCCTGTAATTAAAACATTAATTACCCAAACATTTAAACATTAATTATCCAAAAGCCTGCAGAAATGCAATAAATGAATCCTCTAAATGGAATGGAGGCTCTTATTCAGGTTTCCCTAAATTTCCAAAAGGCAGTTGTCCAGATCCTTTAGCTACCACAATGAACTATGGAAAATGTAATCCACCTCTGGAGATGTTCATTTTCAGAAAACTCGGCACTAAAAATTATCGATAAATCATTGCTTTGTTTCTCTTTAAAAATGCCACCCAAAACAAAGATTTAATTTGTTTTAGGATAGCACACATTTGGTACTGGAATGCGTATGTATTATCTTGTAGCTGCAATTACACTCTCTTCAAAAGTAACTGATATTATTTTTAGCGAGCAGTCAAGTTTGTTATAGTGGGATCTGGAAAATTAACTCAGCAGCAATAGCTTCTTGGAGCCTTCCCTGTAAAGTTCTTCTTCTTTTTTAATGGCGTTTTAGTGATAGAGGTGGGAACTTAAATCCGATCAAAATGTAAAGTTGTCGGATGGCTAGCTACTATGATCCAAAAGCGGAAATAATCGTTTCCTCGAAGAACTTTTATATAGTTCCGCAAATTGTCCCCTGGTCTCCTGGAAGCCCAGACCGGGCTGCTTCTAATGCAGAAGCGAATCCGCGATCGGCCAGACGGCCGCCGTGCAGCCCAGAAGGAGTAGCGGCTCCTTGCCGCCGTGTCTGACCCCTCTCTAAAGGCCACCGCTTGGGGCGGCGGAAGCGTCCCGGGGCTCCGGCTCCCTATTTCTGCGCCCAAAACGGGAAGACCCAAAACTCTCCCCTGGCCGCCTGGCGTGCCAAGGAAGGGGGGCAGGACCAGCGCCCGGGGAGAGAAGGCGGGGGGGGGGGGCTAAGAGAGGGTTGCTGCTGGCAGGCACTCGGCTCTCCCTCGAGGCGAAGCTCCCGCCACGCCAGACCGACCCATTCCAAAGGTCTCTATATACACACACGAAGGCAGCCGGCCTTCTTTCATGGCAAGGGAACCAGAAAAAGTGGGGAACGCCATCAGCCAGGGTTTGCCAGGTTGTGGGAACGCAGCTTCCTCTTCTCCCTCCTCCCATGGGGCCGTGGGGTAGTCCAGGCGCTTGCCTAGGATGAAGCAAGCCTTTGGCTCCAGAGGTTGGGATAGGTCCCTTTCCGAGTAGGAGGTGCCTACTGAGGCAGAAAAGAAGCATTTTTCCCCGACCTTCTATATGTTCCGGACACCTTTTCAGCTCGATCCCAAAGATGTGTGCGAAAAGAAGGGGAAATTGATAGTCTTTGCTGTAAGAAATAAGGGCCCCTGGGAACTGCATCTGGGAACTCACTTTTTCTCACCTTTCTCCAAAATCACTTAAATAAACCGAGGTGCAGTCGTTTTATTTGGGATTTAGACCTTCTCCTCCACTCTTGTATGCGGTACCTACTTACCACATTTAAGTTAACTCAGTGTGGTTGTGAGGTTGCAAATAAGCGGCTGTGGCTGTGTGTGCTCGCTTCCCATTGATTGTGTGAAATGACTGACCCAGATTGGATCCTGTGTGAAATTTATTCTGGAAATGTAAAGTAGACCATAATCACCAATCAATCCAAGCCATTTGGAAGGGAGGTGTAAAATATCTTTCCCCAGAAATTCATTGGAACTTTTTACTTATGTTCAAGAGAGTCTTAAGCTTTGCAGACCAGGCTTGCTGGGAAATGAGTCATAGAGATTCCAGCGCTTCCTCTTGCAAGGTTTAATGGAGTTTGTTGGGCAAACCCTTCCACCAGAGGCTACTGAATGTAAACTGAATCTCAAACCAGGTATCTTCTGGAGCCTGAAGTCAATGGACCAGCTTCAGATCAACCGAAAAGGGGAAAAAAGTTCCAGTCTCTTCCCACTATCGTTCTCCATCAACGGAGGTGAGGGGCGGGGGGGGGGGGAGAAGAATTACAGCATTTGACAAATCCAAAGACAGACATCCGGAAATGTCAGAAACTTTGGTTGGGGTCATCCTTGTGGTTCACCGGACTGTGGCTTGCTGAGTCCACCCAGTTGCCTGGCGAGTTCTCATAGTCACCGGATTTTAAGCCAACTCATCGCATTGCACCGGAAGGGAGCTCCAAGGTAGGGTAGGGCCGCTGTGCTTTCAGCCTTCCTGCCAGCCAGGGGAGAATGGTCTGACCTCTACCGAATGGCCAACGAACGGCCCACGTCCAGCCCAGGGAGTGGCGGTGGAGGCTGGACTCTGCTTGAATTAAAAGACCCTTCCCCCACCCGGCAGCTCAAATCTCCCCAGGGCTGTGGGGCCTGGTCCCAACTGAGTTCCTTCTCCTTCTCCTGAGCCTCTTTATCTGTACTGATAAGCTGCGGATGCCCAGGGTTGAGGCGATCTTGATTTAAAGCAGTGTTTCTCAACCTTGACAATTTTAAGGCATGTGGACTTCAACTCCCAGAATTCCACAGCCAGCAATGCTGGCTGTGGAATTCTGGGAGTTGAAGTCCACATGCCTTAAAATTGTCAAGGTTGAGAAACACTGATTTAAAGTATGAGATCCATGTTCCGACTTGGCTTTTTGGGTTACCTTGAGGGCCGCCAATTCGGTGCATAGAAAATCAAAAGCCGCTGCCGGGGCGAGTTGGAGAGAGGCCAAGACAGAAATCAGGGTCCAGCGACCGCCCTCCTGCCTGGAGAGGAAACCCTTTTGGCCAGGCCAAGGTTTGGAGGCCACCGACGGCAGGCGCCGAGGTTTTCTATTTCCTCCTGGCTGTCCAATCCTCTTCCCTCCCCACTTGGTGAGCTCCGAGTCCTGGACCCTAATCCACAGCAAGGAAGCCCCAAACCTCCTGGACGCAGGGGTAGGCAACCTTGGCTCTTTTATGACTCGTGAACCTCAGGAATTCTGGGAGTTGAAGTCCACGAGTCATAAAAGAGCCAAGGTTGCCTACCCCTGCCGGCTTCCGTAGAGCTCCTAAATCTGGGCTGCAATAACCCAGACCGGGAGACGCCCGTCCAGCATCGCAGGCCGGATCTAGGAGCCCCTCCGGCCGAAGGGGAAAAACGATCCTTATTGTTATTATTATTTTCTCCCGTTATAGCAAAGGGACTTTAGATCTGGGCTTAAGGACCCTGAGCGGTGGGCAGGCTCTTCAGACAACCTCGGGCATTTCGGGAGGATCAGGCCGAGTCGGTGGCACCAAAGAGACCGATTAACAGTCAAAGGCGCGTCAGCTGTTGCCTTCCCGGCTCCCGCTCGGATAAGGGAGCCCCCGCGTCTCAATCGGGCTGCGGGGCAGAAAAGGAGCAGCCGGTCGGTCGGCTCGCGGCAGCCCAGGCGGACCTTGGCAGGAGGCCCGTCGGAGCCCGCCGCTCGGACCCGACCAGCCCAGGCGGCTTTCAGCGTAGACGGCGAGAGTTCCTCCCGTTTGGGCTGGAGAAGAAGAGCGCAGCCCCGCGGAGATCTCGAAGGCTCCGGGGCGGCGGGACTTGCCTTCTATTTCCTGGCGATAACGCCTGGCGGCGGAGGGAAAGCGGAGGAGGGGACTTCCTCCGTGGCCAAAGACCCCCCCTCGAGCCCTCCCCCCCACGTCCCGATGACTCATCGGTTCCCTGCTCCGTTCCTGAAAACGCGGAGATAAAGCAGATAGTCCAGGGCAGGGGTAGGCAACCTTGGCTCTTTTATGACTCGTGGACTTCAACTCCCAGAATTCCTGAGCCAGCATGCCTGGCTGAGGAATTCTGGGAGTTGAAGTCCATAAGTCATAAAAGGGCCAAGTTTGAAGACCCCTGGACTAGATGAGCACCAAGGTCTCTTCCAACTCTGTTGTTCTGTTATTCCCCAGTGATTTTGAGCCAGAAATGACTTTTCCACCAAATGAGGGCAGGGGAGAGAATCTGGATACCGAATTTAGGTTGCTGCATAGTTAAAGTTGGAGTGTGAGGCTGAGGCGTAATTATCTCATAGTTGCAAAGGTGGGAAGGGGGGAAAAAAGGGAAGCTTCTCAGAATATCTCCATGGGGAATGAATAGAAGAGAGTCTGATAGGAGCTGGAGCAAGATTAGAATGGAATTCCTATCACATCAAGTCATGTCAAGGGGAGGGGAGGGGAGGGGAAAGAATATGGCAACATTTTAATATTGTTTCTGCTATTCATATGTAATAAATTAATATGTGATCAAAATGACCAGATTACAGAGTCTAATTAATTGCACCTTTGTGAACAAGGGCTAATAGGTTTATCCTACCTCTTATTTACTCAGAAATCTGTTCCACTAAGATCAGCCTGGAAGCCTGTGTATGTTTAGCTGCAATTACTTCTATTGTGTAGGCTTGGTCCTAGGAAAACATGAATAAGGTTGCCTCATGAAGGCGCTCCTACTAGGGCTCCTACTTTGGAAACATAGCTGGGTGGGTGTTGTCTCACCTCATGAGTTTGGTGACATGGAAATTCATGGGGATTTCCTACTGAAGAGGTTTTGTCTGTGATTGAAACAATTTGGGAGATAAAGGTAATATTTTCTATAAAGCAATGATGATGGAAGACTCCTCTTTGCATTTGGAGGGGGAGTTCTGGTGAGGATGTGTGTGTGTGTGTGGGAGGGGAGGTAAAATAGCTGAACTGTGCTTCAACTGGGCCTCCCTCTTGACTTCCATGCTAATCCAGCCTTCCTGCCTGCCTTTGTTGTAGATCTCCTGGATGATCTGAATGAGAGCCGGGAATGCGTCAACTGTGGCTCCATCCAGACCCCCCTGTGGAGAAGAGATGGGACTGGCAACTATCTTTGCAATGCCTGTGGGTTGTATACCAAGATGAATGGCCTCAGTAGGCCCCTGATCAAACCTCAGAAGAGAGTGGTGAGTAGTAGCGTTGATGGTGCAGAGATAGAAGTATTATAGTTCTGTTTCCTCTCTAAAGTTGTACCCATAAATTGTCTATTAATAACATTAAAAAACAGTCCAGTGTGAACTCAGGAGCTGGCATTACACAACCCATTTAACGTTATTGAATTAATTTTTTTTTGCTTCCCATGACAGTTTAAGCCATGTCTAAAGTAAGATAAAATAATTATTGTGTTGTGTGAATATAGCTACTGTACCCTTGATAAAACATTTATTTAATTTATACAATATAGCTGAGCATTTTAGACAAGGTGACCCCGGGTGTCGAACAATTATAAAACAGAAATAGGGGTTGCATGTGAAGATAGCAATGTTATAAGAACTCAACTCTATACCTATTTAAATTTAACCACTGAAATATAGTACTGAAATTGGTATTGAAATATAGTTAATGCTGTATTGAGGTTGCCTTTCTGCTTGATTTAGTAGACACAAATGCAATATTGAAAATATTTAATACTGCAAATCCTTTTGCAAACAATGGGTGGTCACATTATTTACCTTTGGTTAACTGACCTCACTTGCATGATGCATCTGAGGAAGTAGCCTTTTTAGTGAGAACTGAACAGTATATGTGCAAGCATAATTTTCTGTGCTCTGATAAGGAGCACCAGGTGTGACTTTGATTTTAAAAACCATTATTTACTCTTGAGATTGTCCTCCTTTCAAAACTATATTGAAGCCTTTTAGAAATCTGTTTTGTTTTTACATTTTTAGGTGCAAGTTTTTTGGTAATCAAGAGCAAGCAAAAAGTCTTGATTGCAGTTGAGCTTAGCATATAGACTTGTTGCCTGCTTTATTCTAGTAAAAGAGTATAGATACTGTCCTCTTAACGAGTGTTCATTTGCAAACCGTTGGGGCAAATACACTGTTTTCTTTCGAAACCAAAACTGAGATGCTCACTCCTGACCAAGTGAGCCTTGAGATTTTCAAGTCTTTAAAGAATTTAAAGTATGTCAATGTACATAAGGATTAGAAACCACCAATTCTTTAGAACGAGACAATCTGCAAAACATAGTTCAAGCATTCCTGACTATTTTTATTGTAATGTCTTCTAAATTAATTGATGCAAGAAATGTGTAAACCCTAACTGTTGTCATTCCTGTTGAAGGGACTTAAAAAAGATTTAATTTTTAAGGAGATGTCTTTTTAAAAAGCCACGTGACTGGTCTGATCTTTCCTGTGCCAAAGGCAGATGACCAATCCCCAATGCCCCAATGGGAGTTTGAAAGAGCAAAGAAAAGAAGCATCTCCGTTGTCCCCAGGAATTCATTTTGCAGGAAAAGATGAAAAGCATCAATAGACCAAAGAAACTTTACCTCCCGGTACATTATTCCCCAATTTTTTAATTCCAGTATTTCCCCCACTGCTTTCACTTCCCTTGCTTTTCTTATTGTTGTTATTATAATATTAACAACAATGTGAAATTACAGCTACCAGTTCTTTAGCTGGTGTTGGCCTTGATACCCATTAAGTTTTCCTAATAACCTAGATGTGCAAATGGTGTAGTGTATGTGTGGATCCAAGCAGTGTAGCATTTTGTAATTGACAGATGAAAATGTTGTCAATGTGCAGATTGACAAGATGTTTTGGTATGGCACCCACTGTGCCGATAGCCACTTGAATCATCATAGCTGATTTATGCCATAATCTTTCAAACTTGTTTTTTTTTCTCCAGATTTTGACATTTTGTGTTACTTTGTGAAACTTTAACATTATCATCATCATCATCATTATTGAACAGGTTTGGGATATATGGCCAGTTACAATATCCTACTACTGGGTTACCATAGAATAATAATGGCATCATAACAGAAGTTTTTATATATTGGTATTTTTGAAAAAACATATTTTTGCAAAATGTATGCAGGACAACACTGAGAAGAAATAATTAAAAATGTTGCATTTTGAAACAGTAATTTGAAGATTTGCTGTTTAAACAGTGTTTTTAAAATGAGCTGATACTTGTAAAATAATAGATGCAAATGTTAAGTTTTACATATATTTTCCTAAAATAAATATTAAAATACATGAAGCTATAAACAAAGAGCTAACAATTTATATCAAACTCTTTCAAGTTCACTTCAGATTTTTCAAGCTGTGAGCTATTATTGTGTTAACTTTGTTTAATGTATGTTGTAATACAAATAATCAGCACTTTGTTTCCATTCTTATTTATCTAAGATGTGTCATCTCTGCCAATCTGTTGAAGGACAAACAAAAAACAAATAATGCCCTCAAATTAGAAACAATGTATTTTAAAAAAAATCACACTTTCCTTATGAGATTATTGTCTATACAATGAAGTGCCCTTAAACCAGAAGGCTTTTCAAAGTTAATCACTGCCAGGATTTTGCAATTGGTTATCTCCCTAATTTCATTAAGTGCAGCATAATCTAATTAGAAAGAATGAAAGGAACTGAATGCTTTCTCATTTTTTTTTTCCTATTCATTTGCCCTACCTTGCATGGTAGAGATTACAGCAATAGCATGGTGCTCCCTAAAACGTCCATGCATTTCAAACAAGCAAACAAGAGGGATCACGGGTGTATATTACTCATATCTGAAAAATTATGTCCGTGTTAACATTTAAGAACAGAAATATGATATGCATTACCGCGCTGTATTTCCATGGTAGTACTGTATATTTTTAAAAATAGTTTACTAACAGTAGCAATAGTTTGAAAGGGATATATCATACCCAAGTTCAAGGAAAAATGTGCTCATTTAAATGGGTTTCTTGGAATCTGGAAAATGAAATTCTGTTGAGTTTTTTTTAAAATTGAGAGTATAATGATATTGTGACATTTACTGAGTGTAACCCAGCAAAAATTAGCCATACTGAGATCAGAAAAAAATCTCTCTATAGCAACTGCCATATAAACATATATATTTATTTACTTGTTTAGTTCCTATGGCTGACTGAATTAAGGGAGACTTCCACCCAGATCAGTCTATAAATTTGTACCTATAACTGTGAAGTCTGCTTATTTTACTTTCAATACAATTTGAAAATGCTCTATGATGTTCATTCTTAGCAGTTCCATTTAATGTACATCTGGGTGGAGGTTAAACTTACTAGACGGCCAGCCTTAAACATAGTCAGAGAATGAATTTATCTTCAAAACTGTTTGCCATTTTTAAAAAAATTAGAACACTGACCAGTTTGCTTCTGATAACCTTGAATACCTAGCAATTCATATTTCTTTTTCCAAAAATGATATGCTTGCACAGCATAACATTAGAAAAACATTTAATGGATGTGTTCACTCTATTTTTGTTATCTTAGTTGGATACATTTTATTGATCTGTGTAAAATATAACAAGAGCATTTAGCAATAATAGTAAATAATATAAATAACATCCTTAAATTAGAAGGCATCAATCGCCTTATTTTATTGAGTCATTGCAGCACATTTCTCATGTAGAGACATCCATTGAGTACAGGCAGAATCACAGTCTGGCAGATCCCAGTGAATTTTTCTACAGAATAAAGAATACAGAAAAACAGGGCTGGAAGTGACCCTCTTGGAGGTCTTTTAGTCCAACCCCCTGCTCAGCGCTGCTTGAGGAAAAGGAGTCTCCCTTAGTTTATTTGACTTCAGGTATCGGAATAAACATGTGCAGAGTGTTTTCTTAGCTAGTTATAGAACTGGCTTGCTTCTTCTGGGATCTTTTCTTATATCCCACTCTAGTCTACTACCCTTTTTTATATTATTTGTCACATTTATAGGGCGGCCTGACTCCAGGAAGGTTCTGTATGGTGGATTATATTAACAACAGCAAGAAACAGTATAACAAAGGAAAGAATGATTGTGTATCCAGAAGTGAATTTTTAAACCAGCGTGCAGAACCCTATGAGAGATTAGGCTAGGGTCAACTGCCCTAAGCCAAGGCTAAAACTGCCCAGAGTTACTGAGCATATTACAGCATACCAAGTTACAGCATATTAATGAATTAATTAATGCAATAAATGACCATGATTTTAAAGCTATAGTAAGGGCAGGGACACATGGACCTTAATTCTAGAGGGTAGGTGCTGTGATGGAGAATTATCCCTCTCACTTCCTGGATGCCGTCAGTTTAATCAGTGGGACCTGGGATATCCTCCTTTTCCAGTCTCTGCTTAGTTTTCTCAGGATCAGCCAAGGTGATCTGTCAAAACATACTTAAGTAGAGGCGTAACTTAACATTTTTAGATATACAGAGTGCATCCCTGATTACAATAGAAAAATAATATTTTAAGAGCGTATCCAATGATATCTATTCACTGTGGTTGCTTTTGTAGCCCCTAGAAGTGCATCAGAAAGATTGGTTATCTTCCATAGCAGACCTGATATCATCTATAAAGAAAAATAAAACAAAGTAGTTCTTTGTATAAGTGAAAGTTGGCTATTGCAATTTTGTCTGTAATAATAATAAAAATAGTAGTGCCAGACTAGTTTTATTTTGTTTTTGTTATGCTGGTTAGATTAACAGAACCAGAATTTCATAAATGTTTCTAGTAAGCCAATGGATCCTTTTGCAGAAAGATGTATGAGGCTGCCTAAGCTAAGTGATTTTTGCTGTAATGCATTATTTTATAACCTTGAAGGAGGCAACTACAGCTTCCTGGAATGACATTTTCTGTGCTGTATTTATATGCTTGCAAAGCTCAACTCATACACTTTAAAAAAAAAAAAATAACACTGCAATTCTTTTGCAAAACAGCAGATTTATGATATAGCTGGAATTCCTTGTCTCTAGATCAGTTGCTGCAAGAAATGTTATAACCCCATCCCATTCACTTTATATATTTAGAGGGACTCTTTGGATATAAGCTCCACAATTGTAGAATTATTTCTGATGAAAAGCTGCCTCTTGGCTTTCAAACACCACAGACAACAGTCTTAAATAATTTGTTTATAATATAGGCCTTTTTCGTTCTGTGTGAGTTTACTGATATTCTCTCTCTTATCCTCTAAAAGGCAAGCCCACTTCTGGAAAACATATTGGAATGTGGCTTATTTTACAGAACTCTCACAGGCTAGAGAGGGAAGTGATTTATACAGTCAGATGATCCCAAAACAATTCTGAGTTGGGGGGCAGACTTGATACAATTTCCTGAAACCATCCTGGTTCAGAAGACTGTCTTTTTGACATGGCTCTTATTGCTTTTTATTTCTTATTTTGTGCAAATGGGAAGTGTTTGTTTTTTAATAACCGGATCATATACTGCGGGAACTAGGAAGAACTGGAGAGCAGATGAATTAACATAAAATGACACAATAATGTCACTTAATATGTACACATATCAAATATGAACACATATCAAGGTTTCAGTAACACAATACATTTCAAAATATTCTAGGGCTATTTAAATATAGTAGAACATAGTTTATAAGAATATTTCATTATATTTTTTCATTATAGTATTATATTTTTTATTAAACATTTTTAAGAAAAGAAAAAATATCAAAGAAAAAAAATTAAACACAAAATAGATAAACAGGGAAAAACAACATAAATTAGATTTAAAAATTCATTATTTTAATGATTTGCTTTAAATAACTGGATGTACTATAATGTATTAGAAACTACAAACCATTGATAAAACCCAGATAATATATCAACAATAATCAATGCAATATAAATCATAAAATGAGATTAACAATTACAGTAGTTTTTATTGGGTTCTTTATCCACTCTGAGTTTGGTTATTTTCTTGCAGAAAATACCAAGAACACAACAGTTCAATCTTGAGCCTCAGATAATCACTCCAACTAATATCAAGTATGGGCATCATATTCTTTAGAAAATTCTGTGTCAGATTCACTTTTGAAATACAGAATTATTTTGGACATCAAGACATACAATTAGAACTTAATTATAATTAGCTATTTTTCTGCAGAAAGAACCATGTTGACTTTCCAATTAAAAAGTGTAGAATAACTTTGCAGACATTACCATATACTAAGTTAAATCAATATACTTGGGTGAGAATGTAAAGTTTAGTAATATGTAATTTCAAAAAACAGCTGATTGGAAAGGGAATTCAGCTTTAAAATGTTGTTTTATTCTATTGTGCATCATTTTCTAAAATTGTTGTGCTTACAATATTGCCACCAAAATGGAAAACTGGTAATTACATTTTCAACATTTTTTAGAGAATGAACTGTTTTAGCAGTCACTTTAGAAGAAGCCAGAACTGGAGTAATGTATCAATAATAAAACATATTATGCCAGTTTTCTCAAAGTATAATATTTGGTGTGAATTTAACATATTTTCCCACTAAATTTCTTATTAATGCATAGCAGCTATTGAATCTAAATGTTGCATTTATTTCATCCAACAATCTTTAATTTCTTGTGTCCTGAGTCCTAGTTCACCAACAAATGGTAAAAAGTCCCAAATTTTATGTTATGAAGTTATCAAATTCAGACATGTGTCTATACAGTATATTCCCGCATGGTTTTGTATTTTTTTAGAGTTATATTCTTTATTTGAAGATATCAAAGTCATTTGGGTGGTTATGGCCCATTCCAGAAGAGAAAAATCTGCAAGGATTTTATCCTTGGCTAATTACTAATCATCTCTAGTAGTCTATACAATTTATACGTTTTCTTGACTGTAAAGAATCTCAGTGGGAAAAGTTAACCCATGCTCAAGCTGAGGCCTTGTTTTTGTCCAGGGGAACAAAAAGCAACAAATGTAGTTTGAAATCACTCAGATAAGCTCTGGGACCAAATGCGTAAGCAGTGATCGAAGACACAACAGGATTCTCAGTCCCGAAGATGTGTTTCAAACTTTCAATGCTTTTATGCTATAGAGACCTTTATTCTTGAGAAATGTTGAATCTCTGTCTTGCCTTATCTACCTGTTATTTACTGGTGCCTCCTCTTCTTTTCACAGGCCCATTTATAAATTTCTGCAGCTGCTTGTGGGGGAGGAAGGTCAAGTCACACATTGGGCCATTGATGTTTTCCTCTTGTCTTGTGTTTTCCTCTCTAGCCTTCTTCAAGGCGACTGGGCTTGTCCTGTGCGAACTGTCATACTTCAACCACCACTCTTTGGCGCAGGAATGCAGAAGGAGAGCCTGTGTGCAATGCTTGTGGTCTGTACATGAAGCTTCATGGGGTAAGCAGCAACTTCAGGAGCTCTTTCCGTTTCATGTGCAACTGATCCTCAGGGGAAACGCTTGTTAAGATTTATACAAGGCCATATCCAACCCTGCTGGAGAATTCCCAGAGGAACAAGAATGCTTTTCTTGCTTGTTTGTTTTATGTGTTTGCAGTTGCATCTAGAGCTAAAAAATACAGGGGAATGTCAACAGAGAAATGGCATCCCTTTCTGTCACATCCTCCTCATGTAATATTTCAGCAAAGCTACACTGAATACAAAACAGAAGTAATTTTTCGTTGCTATTGCCGGGCCTCATATATTACAAATGCATTTTAAAGTATCCTTCAGTTAGAAACATTCTAATAATAAATAAGCTTCCTTATTAAATGCTATTAAATGAAAAATAATAAAGGAGACTAGTTGAGAGGGTCCACTTTTTAATCATGTACAGACAAGAAAGCTTCAGAAGAGGAATGTCTGTTTTTATCCATGCACATATTGTTTATTTATACCAAGGAGCCCTGGTGGCACAATGGTTAGAATGCAGTATTGCAGACAAACTCTGTCCACAGCCTGGAGTTCGATCCTAGCGAGCTCAAGGTTGACTCAGCCTTCCATCCTTCCAAGCTCAGTAAAACGAGGACCTAGATTGTTGGGGGCAATATGTAAATACCGGTAATACTCTATATTGTAAACTGTCCAGAGAGTGCTGTTAAGAGCTATTGGGTGATGTATACATCTATTGCTATTGCTATAAATCTACATCTAATGGGAAGGAAGTGTGGGGAAGGTAGGAAGGAAGGAAGGAAACAAAATTCACAATGGAAAGGGCTAACTAGATGCTTAAAAGTTTATTCAAAGGGTCTTCTTCAAAGCTTAAAAGTATGGTGAGCATCTTGCTAGTTTTCATGTGCAGTTCAAGGTGGCCTAATCTCTTCCTGAACTTGTGCTTTGAATGTTGCTTTTGTTCCCTTGGACAACAGGTGGAACTAGAATGTGCTTTCTGTAGTGTCATCCAGTGCTGAGGTTCTCTCCAGCATAGGAGGTAGAAGCAAGCTGATTGTTCTCTGACTGATGTAGAAGGCCAAAGTGGTCTCTCTAGTTGTCCTGATTCTCTTCCTTGGCAGACAGGAGATTCAGTCTATTGAAATACAGGACATTTTGCATGCTCAGAAAGTAGTCCTGAAAGGAGGAAGAGACAAAAATGTTGAGTGACTTACTAATGCCAAAAGCTTGCGGGGAGGCTGAGCTCTTGCTTTTTAATGTATTTTATTTTTAAACTTTAAAATAAAACAATTATAATTGGAAACATTGGGGAGAATAAACAATAGAGGATCTCAGGCTTAAGATCATTCTGCTGAATATAATGGCGTAATTTCGCTTATGGCAGAATGGGTCTAACGGAGACTGATAAATCTCCTAAGAGGAAATAATTTCTGAAATTTAATGTTTTATGTTTCTACATTCTCATTAGGTGCCCCGACCTCTTGCTATGAAAAAAGAGGGAATTCAAACCAGGAAACGAAAGCCAAAGAATATAGCTAAGACAAAATCGTGCTCTGGTAAATATACTCAAAGAGTTTGAACAGGGACAGATAATTTTCTATGATGCAATTGTTCTAACACAGGGTTGTTGTTATTACCTTTGCAGGTAATAATAACAATAATACTGTTCCTATGACTCCAACTTCCACATCTTCTACAAACTCAGATGACTGTATAAAAAATGCTTCCCCAAGCACACAAACAACAGCCTCAGGGGTAAGTGATAAAATAACATCCATACTTGCAAGTGGATTTCCATTGCTCATGTTATCTCCACTTTTATCTTATCTACTATTATAACAGTAATCTAAATAAACTGTTCTGTTTGTTAGCTGATACTGGAGTGGGAATTTCTCAGGAAATTGCCTATAAATGCAAACATAGTGTAAATCTAAAGTACTTTACAAACATCTTTATTAAAGGTTTGCTTTCAGACACGTATCTTATTTATACTATATTGGATTATATATTATATTGTATTGTACATTATATATTATATTGTGTTGTATAATATATATTACATTGTACTAAGTTGTCTAGTAGACATTGGCTCTGATCCCAGGTGGGAAGATTCATAGGCTAAAATATTGTCCATGTACACAGTCTACATCCTTTCTTTAAGCTGTTATCAAGAATCATTTAAAGTCAGCAATGAAACTAAGGAGGGAATTCTCAGAAAAATTATAAAACAATGTACAGTAATTGTATTCATATAACATCTCAGTCTCACTCATTCCTTCCAGAAATTTACATTTATTTCAACTAGACATTTTTTTATCATCTGGTACCATTCAAAGTTGGAGACAATTGATCTTCCCATCCATTGTCCAATACTGCAACCCCATAATACCTTCTTTTAGCTTAGTAGTAATATTTTCAAAATATCTTTTTAGAAAGCTTTTGAGGCAAAAGAAGCCACTATAAAGCAATTTAACAAGATCCTATGAAAATTACTGCTTTGTATAAAAAAACAAAGCATTATTTTGCAGAACAAGCAACAGAATTTTCTGCAATGAGATTCTCTATCCAATTCCACATTAAAAGTACAAATCTGAATTACTTTTACACATTAATTTCAATGGAGAAACATTAAGTTGAGGATTTACTATACTTAAAAGCATCATTGTAATATTGTATAAGAATTAAAGCTTTCATATTAAAGATTAAAATGCTTAATTTTTTTAGATTCACCAAATGAAGAAAAATTACAGTCAGGCTATTCAAACAGCTATCTTTTAAGTCAAAATATAATACATGTCAGTATAATGAAAACTATTCTCTTAAGGTGACATTTAGTCTGTCCCAGATATCTTTAACAATGAATAGGTGACAAATTTGTTTTAATTATTTAGTAACAGCCTACCCTCTCTTTTATTCCATGTACAGGAAAGTGATTATACAATAAATTTAACAAATTTAACAAGAATCACATATTCCAACTTTACTGTCCCCCCCCCCCAAAAAAACCCCATCTCCCTCTAAGTAACTGAATCAGCCCTTTTAGGATTAATTTAAACTTTTAGAACTATGTTATGGATGCTCTCACAAAATGACTGCCATGGAAAAACTTGACTTTTCACAAAATGGCTGCCACACAAGGTTGTTATTGTGGGGAACATAGGAGAAGGAAGGAGTATTATGTTTAATTCCTTGAGTTACTTATAAAGTAATAAAGGTGGGATCAAAATCTAATAAATAAATAAAAATTAGCCATGGTTTTACCTAAGCCCTATATTTAATATATACAATATACAGTATACTTATCACAAAACATCCATTTCTTACAAAGTAAATTGTTCTCTTTCTGTTTGGAGATTATATATCTCATTCCACAAGAACTAGAAACTTGTCTTTTTTAAAAATGAGAGTTTAGCACCTGATTATCCTGATACATCAATTACTATTCTCAGCAGGTTTGCTGGATTAGTTTAAATATATTAAATATATATTAAATATAGGGCTTAGGTAAAGCCATGGTAATTTTTATTTATTTATTTATTTATTTGATTTTTATCCCATTTTTATTACTTTGTAAGTAACCCAAGGAATCAAATATAATACTCCTTTCTTCTCCTATTTTCCCCACAATAACAACCTTGTGAGGTAGGTTGGGCTGAGAGAGAATGACTGGCCAAAGTCACCCAGCCAGCTTTCATGTGTAAGGCGGAACTAGAACTCATGGTCTCCTGGTTTCTAGGCCAGCATGTTATACCAAACTGGGTCTTTTTTTTCCCTCCCTTTGATTTTTCTTTTTTCCATTACTTTCACTAGGATCAAAATGCAGTTAGCTTTCTCCGACTTCATTCCATTATTCTCAATATTCCTCACTTTTATTTTCTGCTACAATAATAACATAATTAATATACCCTTAATTATGTCACTCACATTTGTTAGATTAGAATCCCCTACAGGAAATCAGGGGGGAAGGTTACTGATTGCAACAAATGAAGAGGGAAAGTTACCTACCCCTTGACATATTACAGAAAAGAAACATTCTTTCCTTGGTGGCTATCTCTGCTTGCATTAAGTATATGTACTGATACAGTTTAAACAATGAAAACTAGTCTGAGCTGTTAGAAATATTTACTCAAAGTATCAATGGTGAGGAGCATTTGATTAATTTACAGACTGAGCATGCAGCCTTAAATCAAAAGTGCTTTGTCTGGAGTAGACGGAGATGAGACACAAGTTGGCCAAAATCCTCTCCTACTTGGGAAAAACTCTTTCTTCTGGTTGACCCCAAGGATTTGTTATCAGAAAAATCCTCATCTCTGCCCAAAATGTGCTGGCAGAGAAAACAGAACTAAATTGAGACAGGGCAGGACGAGGGAAAAAAAAATCAAAACACATATAAAGCCCTTCCAGATTAGGGACCCACCCAGATTATTGGCACAAATAGAGGTCAAACTAAGGGTAACCTTCATAAATTTCCAATGTTCTGACTTCAGGGCACTGACTTTTGTCATCCTTTCTTAAATTATGCCTACCCTGATAATATTGAAGCCAAGATTTAGTGCAACTGGACTTCCCAAGCATTGGATCACTTGGCTTCTAAACATTTTGGCCATGTGAAAAAAACATTCTCCTAAGAATTTAATGCAGAAATAGACTACTGCACTTCAAAACCTCACTCAACTTCAGAAACCTATCTAACTACAGTATTGTTGAAACTTAGTAACTTTGAGGCAAAAAAATGCAAAATAATTTTAGGCGTTATCTCTAAAATTTGGTTAACTTAAATGACAAAGCAAAGAGCTCCACACAACTCTTTACAGTAAAATAAAGCTCTCCTGTCCACTTGGCATCATTGCCTTCTCCATCCTTGACACACACTGCCCTTCTCCCATATTAACCATGGAACCATCCACAAAAATGTTTGTATATGTGCATGTGTGTGTGTGTGTTTGTATGTATGTATGTATTTATTCATTTTGTATCCTGCTTTTATTATTTTTATAAGTAACTCAAGGTGGCAAATGTATCATATACTCCTTCCTCCTCCTATTTTCATGCATTTAATTTAATTAGCCATTCATGCAATTAATGTGGGATGAAACTAGGGCTATGCTGAAAACTGAATTTGAATTTGAAGGGTAAACATGATTCAGAGCCCCCATCAGCATGTTTAGGTTTCTTGTTGGAAAGACTCTGAAGCAACTCAGAGAGCTGCCCTCTGTGATCCTGAGAGAAGAAACATCTGGTTTGAAGATATTCTTGACAGTTCTTGACAGCTTGCACCCATCCAAAATTAAATTTTGCCATTTCGATCTGGATCTCTGCACAACCCTGTTAGAAATGTCTACAAATATATTAGCAAAACTCTCCTCTGACCAAATTCAGATCTGTACAACTTTCCCTTGTTTTATACCTTGATACAAAGGCAGAGTGTTCTCAAGAAATAGTATTACCCAAAACTCAAAAGTATTTCCTCATACAAAATCATATGTAAATGAGCTGATGGTATCAATCCAGACACTTGATTGGGCCATAAGAAAAGCAAAAGGGATTTTGCTACAGAAAAGTTGGTTTGTTGCATATATAGTGCATAACTGTAAAGATATACACATTTCAAATCACACTTTGGTTAGTTTAGATTTAAAGCTCTTTTAAATTCTGGTGCTGTTTCATAATGGGACTTTTTTCTTTGCATTGTAAGTGTTTTGTGTTCAATGATCTTTTGCAAACTATGCTCCATTCTGGTGGCACTCAATCAGGAACAAATTGCTGAAGATAGAGCAAGATGGATTTGAAAGGGTTTTGTATTAGACTTTTCTAATTTGACAGCCACTGGATGCGCGATGTTCTTCCCATGTGTTATCCATTGTTAACAGTTGTTCAAACCTGGAGACTGGGGATAATGGAAAAAGTAGTCCAATATAATTGGAGGGAGTCAAGTTGGGAGAGCCAGATATATTGCATTGTATTGTTTTGCCAATCAGAAAAATTCCAAATTAACAGGAAAGATTAAAAGATAATGTTCAGAACTGAATAGGAAGGAAGTTTTAGACACTAGTGTTTTTCAGTTCTTGGAAAAGTTGTTAATGGACAGAAGAAAACACATTCTTTTTCTGGGATAGAAATGATTTATTACGTTTTTCTAGACAACTGTGCCAAAAGCAGTACTGAAAATGTGGAGATTCAGCAAAAATTCATAAAGACAACAATTATATTCAGCTGAAACTCATTTTAATTCACTCAGACAGTGAAAACTTTAGGAGGGTTACTGAGGCAAGAAGTGTGCAAGAAGGCAGATAAATTTAGACTCAAAATGATCACTGGCATCTGATTATGGGCATTTTAAATTAATCCCAGGATTATGGACATCTTCCATCCAAGAGGATAGGAGCAAATAGGAGGAGACTGTTCAGGTAGTCCTACCATTCATTACAACGGCACTGAAAAAAGTAACTTACATCTGGTCATCGGACTTATGGCCATCAGAGGAATACCACAGTCACTTGATTAAAATTTCAGGGCAATCTGTATGTATTTACAGTATAATGGTTGCAGCATCCTGGGGTCAAAAAACTCTAACCCTAGGTTCCATTTGCAACCGTCCCAAACTGCTTCTGACAAGCAAAGTCAATGGGAGAAGCCAGATTCACTAAGCGATTGTATGATTTGCTTAATAAGCATGGTAAAAAAGGTTGTAAAAATCAGACACAACTCACTTAACAACCTCCTTGCTTAGCAACAGAAATTCTGATCCCAATTGTGGTAATAAACCAAGGACTGTCTGTAACGATTGACTAATGAAAGAAACGCTCTTTGATTACCCTCGAGTCTATCGGCGTGTTTACCCCATTTAGTCTTGACCTCAGCCATGGCACCAAAAATACTGTTACAGGAGATGTCCTCTTCTCTGCACATCACCTCCTGGGCAGGATAGTTGCTGATCTACTTGCACCATTTCGAGGGAAACCTCAGACTCCATCCGCCTTGTGATTTAGCCCTTTAAGGACCCCAGCCGAATGACATAGAATTGACAGCTGGTGATACCCCAGGGAAGTGCCTGCTTTGGGCATGGTAAAATAAAAATGCCTTATCTGGGTAGTGGATTAGGAAGGGGAGTTAGACCCACTTCTTTGCTTGCCCCCCGTCTGGTGTCTTAGATGGCTGCTTCTTGGAGCCTAATAGCAAATTGTGGGCTTGGTTCCAAAAGGGCAGCTAATAAATAGTGAAATGTGAGCTAACCTTCTTAAAGAAGAAGCGAGGATTAAAAGAACGGAATTTTCGAGGATGTGATCATTCAAAGCAGCTCAGTACGCATTGTCTAGAGCAGTCAGTCTGTTTTTCCACTCCAATGGCTGATCTGTTATCACAAGGTCAGTTCCTGGAATTTACACTGAAACTTTGTACTGAATATTCTCCAGGGTAGTCTGTAGCCCAGACTGACGATCAGTCACCTGCAGCTGCAGTCCAAAGTGAGCATCTGAGCAATGGGAAAAGTACCAGCACTAGCATATGTTTGTGTGTGTGTGTGAGAGAGAGAGGGGGGGGAACAGGCTTTGGCCATTTCCTGTCCCACCTCAGTTGAAGTTTACTTTTTACTGAACATTAAATAATGTTCTTTTTTTCCTTGCTGCAGGCAGTCTCTTCTGTGATGTCCAGCCGGGGCGAGAGCACCAGTCCTGAGACTAGCACACTCAAATATTCTGGCCAGGAAGGGCTTTACTCCGGTGTCAGCCTGACCTCCACTGCAGAAGTGACAGCCTCTGTGAGACAGGATTCTTCCTGGTGTGCCTTAGCTCTAGCGTGAATTGGTGGCATATCAATGCTGGTGTCGATATTTGCCCTGGGCTGCAGCCAGTGATTTGCCCTTGTGCTGGATATTTTTGCCTCGATCAAGCAGTCCAAGAAGCTGTAGCAGTGAGGGCAGGGACATTTTGCCCATTATACCTGCTTCTAGATACATTTCGTCCCTGCAACACTGACTCTCCAAGTCACCAGTCTGCAAGAGATTCAAGGGAGTTGGAACTGCTTTTACTCAACAAGGAGTGCCCTTCTGCACTATTCATAGATCTTCACCATGACTATCTATGCTGCCTTGTGTATTTGAGGACTGTGTCTTTGTTTCACTCCCACGTGACCAACATCCAAGATCTGATTGATGTTGACTTTTTTCTTTCTTTTTGTAGACAAAGTAGGCAAAGCTTACATTACAACGGATAATGCAGTCCAGAAGAGCAATGCAAATGTGCATCTTGTCCATATGTGTAACTGCATATCTTGTACTTGACAGTTTCTGATCTTTTTCCCAGGTCAGTGTTCTCAGCTAGTGCCTTCTGCTCTATATTTTCTGGGTAGTTTTTCTGAAGTAACTTGCGATAAAGCCCAATGAAGGAAAACATTTGGTACACCCTTCTCAAGTTAGAACTTGCTAACAAGAAAGTATACTAAAATATTTGCATTATTGTCTTTAAGTATATACTGTGATGGAGGAGGTGGAGCATCTATGATGTGACTGAACTGTATGTAGTCAGTCAGAATTTGTAAACAGGGTAGCCTTAAAAAAAAAAAAAAAGAGAGAGATCCCTTTTGCATATACACAATTTTGTTTTTATGAAAAGTGCAATTTCTGTTGCAGCAATCAGTGTTAAATCATAAGCATAAGATTTAACCGCAGTTTTTATACGAATGAATGGAATGAATGTAAACATTTTAACTTAATGGTACATAAATAATTTAAAAGAAAACAAGTTAAACTAGGCATCTTTATAGGTTTTTTTTTTTATTGCAACAAAAATGTTTGATGTCTGTGTTTCTGATTTTCAAGCAAAAGTTTCAAGAACAAAAGTTTTCTCAGGAAAAAAAGATTGACCCGTCTAACCCAGCCTTCCACAAAGCTCTTGGCCTCCAACCGAGTTGGATTGCAATGCTCAGAAGTTCAACCCAGTGTAATGCTTCCATTCATGCTGGTTGGGAATTCTGATAATTGCAGCTAAGCCTATTGAGAAAGGCTAGCCTATCTAGTCATAAGCTTTTATAGATACACAGTCATCCCCACTCTCTTGCCACGAATAAAGTATGTGCTAGAAAAGTGTCCATTGCAATAAAAGTTTACTACCTAATGGCAAAATATGTAAATACTTCATCAGAATTTTGAAACAATGTTCAAATATTGGATGCAGTCTGTAGAATATAGACTGACCTGTAGCTAGGTTGTTTTACATATTTTTCAAAGCAAAAGCCAATGTTGGGATGTCATGTGGAAAGTTGTTTTCACCAGAGGATTAAAAATAAAAGGATTACATGTTCTGTCTATATGTGATTTCTTTTTAATGTACTGCAAAATGAAGGAGCATATTCAAGAAGCATCTTCCCGTGAGCTTGCAAAAAATTCAGGTAAGAATTAAAAAAATATTCAGACTTGTTCCATCCATAAATGTAAATATTACATTTTCTTATTTATTCCCTTGGTCAACACTGAGGATTGATTGGCAGACCTAGACCAATGTGGGTGATTCAAGTATAGGAAAATCTTTTTCCAATTGCTAGTTACCAATTTCCAAATTCCTACATTTACACATTGATGCTACGGCAACAATCAAGAAATACTGAAATGTCAGGCATGCCAGGAAATCTGCTTATTTCTGTTTTCCATTTCTTCTTAGTGGTAAGTACTGATAAAGAGATGGGCTTTTGTATAAAAAGTTATTTCAATCCTGAGAGCTGAATTACTTTTTTTCTCTCTTAGTACAATTTTTCAGATGTTTGCTAACATAAAGATAAAATAGAGCAGGATACTGTTGTCTGTGAAAAATTGAGATTTTATTTGTTCCAAAACTTGTTCTTAAATCCCATGGTTTTTCAGCAGTGAATTGCTGAAATTTCCAAAAATACCAGGAGCAGGGACTTCAAACAGCTTGAATCCCATGAAAGCAAATCGAGGCTTTCAGAATAGCACGTAAAGAGTATCCATTGTGCAGAGCACAACCTTTGAGGAGAAGAAGCCATATTTATTGCAATAATCATTGGGTGCCATAGTTAAAAGAAAGAGGAATCCTGAGCAATGGGAAAGCAATGTTTTTTTTATAGATGTTGAGGGGTACAAGATAGAAAATCCTAAGAATCTGATCTCCTGACTGGTTTGAAGGAAGTCTACACTGAATCTTGTATACCTTTTCCAATAATTTATCTCTCCATTGGCATTTCTGTTTCTTCTTTCCGTTTTTAATAGAAATATTCCTTGCCAATGAACATGGCAACTTATTCAAATTAAAATGTTCCATGATAAGTTGAGCAAACTGTAATTGGGGAGGGTGGCAGATTTACATGGGCAGGTCAACAAAGTGAAGTTGATAAGGCCATATAATAAACCCATTCAAGACATTCTGTTCTTTTCCCGGCTTAGGGGAAGGTTTGTTTGTTTTCCAAGTATATTAAGCCTACTTGATGGCCTATATGACAATTGGCATGCACTTCTTATCCCAAAATGGTGAAAAAGAAATATCCCTATGGCTTTAGGAAAGTATAATTGAAGAAGGTACTGTGGATCCCAAGGAAGGACTTGAAGAACTTTATGGATTCAAGTGGCCAAACCTGTCCTATGATCTGTTCTCTTAGTGTTCCCTCGCCCTTTATCAAATTGAGTTAGGTATATTTCTGTAGAAGATCCTGTGGATTCAATCCGTAGTGATCACTAGTGAATAGCAGTCATTAAGTTCTATGATCTTGCCTTGATTTCAGCAGAACTTACCTTTGTTCCATGGTGACTACTTTGCAGTGATTTGGCTTTTAACATTAAGGGCAATATGAACCAATTAGAATTTATTGCCAGTTCTTACTACTGGGCTGTATGTTGGGGTCCTTCCTTGTACATCTAATTTAGAAACTGCAATTTTGCCTGTAAACATTGGGTGGACAAATGAACATAAAATACATTGAAATTAGATATGGGAAGATCTTCAGCTTCTGTAAAATAGCATGAAAATAGGCTTTATGTGTAAAACAGCCATCTAGAGTTAGAGGAGTGATATATCTNATATCTACCCTCTTCAGGATGGCAGTCCTGATGGAATAGCTAGCTGTCTGGCTTCACATCCCCTAGGTTTGCCCCCCTTTTTTGCTTCTTCCCTTGAACTTAAAAGTAATTTCAGAAATAATCTCATTATACAAAATATAGACTGATCGCCACCTTTTTTCCTGTATGCTGCTACCCTGAAGTTTCCAGTGGAATTGAGCTATTAAAAAACAATCTCTTTTCTATTTCAAATAGGGGATAAGAAAGCAAAAGTTTCTTCTCTCTCCTTCCAGGTTCTGGACTTTCATTAAAATATCCTTCTTTCCTCCTTAGGAGGAGTATTACATAGTCTTCTTGGTCCATTATCACTTTCCCTTTTATTCCCTGCCCATACCTCCTATCTCAAACAATAATTGCGACTAGATAATTGCCAGTTTCCCAGACTTTAATAATAAATCTGAAAATGCTCTGAGGTTGTTTGTTGCTTCTCCTGTTGATCCCTCCTAACTTTTTAGAGTATTATCCAAATTACATCCTGAAGTTATGCAGGTACTGCTCCATCATCAGTCTTTTCTCTGGCAAAAAGGTGGAGAAAGATTCACCTACCAAGAGGTAAAGACCTGTGGCTACCAGATAGTACAATGCAGCTGCCAGCATGTTTAACCATTGGCCATGCTAGCTGGAGCTGATGGGTGGAATCTACAAATTTTCTCGAGCCCTTGAACTAATTCATCCCTTAGTTCATGTTCTTGAAGGCCTTATTTTCTGAAGATGCTGAAATATTGATACTATACATGGGCACAGCACTTTTTTCCTTAAGTAAACTACAGGCCAACAAATGAGCATTCACAGCTAAATATAAAGCTCCTCTTTATCAAACAAGTAATTGGTGCTATTAAGATGAATAGAAGCCAAAAGGCAACTGAATGATAGGGTACAGAGATCAATTTTCTCCAATCTGATCCCTTCTAGGAATGCCAACTAGGAAAGTCCGGGAGTTGAAGTCCAATTCAGCTGGAAGGTGCCACATTGAGGAAGACTGTAGATTAAATAATTTATTACATACACAGACAGTGAAGAAAAAAATGTTTGCATGGGTGGCACATTATACTGTAAGTAACTCATTTGTATTCACCTATAAGGCTTAATAGTTTGTGGGGAGAGGAAATACTTTTGGGAGAAGACAACCTGATTTCCCCACTTCACTCCATCCACCCACTCCATAGCAATCCATTCCATATGCTGTGTTAATCAGTGGATTCATACAAGGAGTCAGAGTATTTCCATTTAAGACAAACATAGTGGCAAGCTGATTCATTGTATTCTTTAACAGAAACACTTTTTGACCAGTATCAAAGGGCAAATATATATACTAAGAGGGAGTAACTGAAGGACATGTGATAAATGAGTCTGATGTCATGGAATAATTTGTCCTTGGCACATTTTTGCTGATTGTATGGAAAGTAAAATAATTCAAACACAGATAGAATTGTTCAGCACCTTAAAGACATGGTGCTTGGCAAAGTAGTTGGTTCTCGCATTCAGTGGAGATTATTTTGCTGACCTGTAACCATACAAAGATGTGTGTGTTGGAGAATTTATCGTCAGTCATCTTTGAAATGTCGGAAATCTATTATCACATGGCTATGTTTTATCCCAGTCTTCTCCTGACTGGGATAATGGGAGGCGTCAAACACATCCAAACAGTGCTAAGTTGGAAGAAGAGTTCTGTATTCATATTCAATCCAGCTAACCAGTGCTGACTCTGCTACTGACATCATCTTTCTGAGATAAGACATTTTGTCTCATCCTTTTGCTTGATAAAGGCAGCTGGCGGGGACTGACAGAGATATTAAGGTAGGCTAGCATGTTTCTAATCCAAAATGGGAGTTGGACTAGAAGACCTCCAATGTCCCTTCCAACTCTATTAATCTGTTCAGTTCTGATGACAGACTTTATTGCAAATTCATTTTTATGCATGCTTTGAAACTGCAGGAGGAGAAAGGGAAGAAACAGATGGTTACTTACAACTAAAGACATGTCTCCAGGAGCAAAGTTCAGAACAGCCCTTCCTGCAGCCTCATCCAAATGGGTGTTTTCCAGAGCTGTTGGACAACAAAGCTCATTGTCAGCTAGGCTGTCTACAGACTGACTGGTGATGTAGGACTTCTCAGGGACACCAGCCTGGGAAAGGCTGTGATGTAAAGTCATTTTGAAGATGGAGAGTGGTCTGTACTAAGCGATGATGTTACTACACTGGATTGCAGGGAGGAAAGAGCAATAAGCTAAATGCTTTTGCTAAAATGGTGGCTGGGTGGGTGGAATCTTGCCTCATTTGTGGAATTCCAACTTTGAGAAACTAGTTTTTTTGTTTTTAAAAAAGGTCACACATGGGTATAAAGTCCTTTCTTTCTGGAATATGTCTTAGAAGACCAAAGGTCATAAAAATCTGAACATACTAAAACAAACATGGGCAACTACAGTTTTCTAACATGCCTCACTTCTTGTCACCCTTATATTTTCAGTAAA